GATTAAATTTATGCAAAATATTTAAAAATCAATCAGTTCATCAATGTAATAAAACTCAACAGGTTTATATTTTTCCCAAACAATTAAATGTTGCTTCAGTGCTTCTGCAACCTGAAAGTCTTGTTCAGCCAAACCGGCCGCGGTACCCTGGTGATTTTGGTGTCTTCCCACTTAGCCAACATTTTCAAAAAAAATACAGGTAAAACACAGGTAAATCTATGTGGGAAAAGGATTTTTCAAAATGTTGGTTAAGTGGAAATTAACCGATGATTTGGCGCTCTAGATCTCTTCGTGATCAGGAGATCCTGGCACTATTTTTCGTTCCCGGTGGCGCCAACATAGAACGTTTAGCATTGTTAAGAAGGTTTTTATTCAAGCGCTCAGCATTAGATGTGAAACTAAAGGGTATATTTCGGATGAGACCTTAAACCCGAAGACCCATATGCTACAGCCGAAAACGGCATGTATAGGTTGAAATTGTTGACAAATATATCATTATCACCTAAAGCAGACGAAATCTCTTAATGATTAAAAAAATTTCGGATCAATGGGAAGTAAAAAGAAGAATAAGAAATTTAAAAGTTTTCTTTCTATAATATTATATACGATTGAATGTTCTGAAACTGGCCTTTGTAATTGTACACCTATAAAAGTACAGTTCTTATTTATCAATTTTAACAATAATTATGATCGAAATGCTGACAGTATAATTTCAAATCAAGACCTCCGCTTTTTTTTAAGTAATTGAATTCAGAAGTGAATTCTTAGATTTAATTTTTTTGTAGGCCTTTGTACCCAAAAGAGAGCACTTCCGGATCCAAAATCGTTTGATGGAATGATGGCAGCCATTTCTTTACCCACAATGCAACAGGAGAACTTCCAGAGAATGTGCTTACAAAGTATGGAATTAGATTTTTTGTTCAAGTTCAGAAGTATGTAATGAGAAAAGTGTGTCACATCAAATACATATATTATTTTCCCTCTTTTAAAAATATGTCTAATTACTAATTAGGATGTACGAAAAGCTATTATTTAAATTCGGGATACGAACGAAATTCCCTTTGCCAATTTTATACTTTAAAAAGTCAAAAAAAAAGTGCAAGTCTTACATAAAGATTAATAAGTAAATAAATGTTTTTGATCTTTTTAAACTCATGAAGAATTGAAAATCATCAAAGCAATTGATATGTACATTTATAAATAGACCTTAAATATCTTTTCTTTTAAATCTTTTTTATGCAAAACAAAATGTATTCCCCTAAGAGGAATTCATAAATCCTCCCCAGTAAATAAAACGGATTTAATTATAAAATAATTCTGAAAACAAAACTGTAACGTTACACGCAGTAGGACGTTAACTTATTTTGTATAATGCTTCGCTACAAAAAAAACCTGATAATTCCCTGCCTTTTTGTCAATGGTTTACAGACTGGGTTTACCCTCAATCAATGTTTGGTCTGGGGGGCAAATCTTTTTTATATCAGGTTTCTATTATTTCGTCAAGCTCTTTAGCGTAGCCATATCTTTAATTTTGAGTTCATATAGGATATTATCGAAAACTCCATTTAATTGATGCGATCAGGAACGGCAAATAAATGGACAATCGGAAAATTGAGACGCGCACAAAAGCCGCCAGAGGGCGTGTGATTGAACATTGATTGGATGTCAGTTTTCTTTGGCTCAGCACGTGCCCTTTTGTCTATAAATAGACCCCCTCTGTCATTTGTTACTTCTTTATATAGAGATTCAGATACATAAAATCTGGCACGAAAAATTTAATTTTTTTTTCTCGGAGACAAGATGCCAAAAGATCAATACAAAAGTGAAAAATTAAAAGAAAAAAAATGGTGTAGACGCGCTTTCTGAGGTTTGGCTGACGAATTCTTATCTGATAAGAATACACACATTCAACACAGCCATTCAGTTACAGAAACTTTATTAGCATTTCAAACTATTTCCGTTTTGCTCTGCGTTAGATAGTTTGTGTCACCCTAATAACAGCTTATCTATTTGTACATTAAATACAGTGAACTGCAAAAGTGGAATAATAGATCCATAAATACCCAAGATCTCGTTCAGATCTCACGTAATTATGCTAATTCACTTACCAACAGATAGTTTTAAATGTGTGTAGACGATGGAATTCTCTTGTTAAATGTGCGTATCAGGCTATTCAAATCTAAATTATAAAATATTAACCCCATCACTGAAGATTTACGAAGGTGTAAAAATAGCACATTTATGCTCTATTTTGAATTACATGTAGTGCATGCTCGGTGTAAGTCATATTCATTTTCTAACAAGAGACCTATATGTTTCAATAATTCATTGCGTGATCTTAAACCACTTAGCACAACATTCTTAAATTTCGGTGCTTTTAATCTAAGAAATCTATGAAGTCAAAGCATAATTTTTAATGCTTGGTTTTAGAAAACTGCAACAATTATAAAGGGCTAAAAATTTCAGTTTGTGCTAGATAAATATAATTATGTAATGTTGTAAAAAGATATTTAGATTAATTATCATAAACTTTCCTATTTTGGAAATATAGGTAACGCATCTTAAAACAATGAAATAAACTTGCATCCTGATAGAATGTACAAGAATACAATATGGCAATGATTTTAACTATTCTACCCAAGTTAATGTTTTGAGAATTTATGACAAATGCCAATGACTCTTCTCTTCTTTCCTTTTTTCTTCTTTGCAAAACTGTAAATGAATTACTATGACCTAGTAGAATTTTTAATTTGCTGCAGATATACCAACACAGGTTTTACTTCGAGAAGTTTATACTAGGATGGGAAAGGAAGACGCGTAAGTACTCTCTCTCTCTTTCTCTCTCTCTCTCTAATACTTTGTCTGAGCATATCAAGGAGTAAAGTTGATTTAAATTGAGTTACATGGAAAGCTCTTCTGTTGCAATAATTTCATTCTCTCTCTCTCTCTCTCTCTCTCTCTCTCTCTCTCTCTCTAACGGAATGTTTTTGTTTTTTTTTTTCAGAATGAGCAAATCACTGCCCGATCCTGTTGACCCAGAATTACAACGGACATCACCTGACGATAGTATCATGACACAAAAACGTAGGGGAAGAAATAGAATTTCCGGATTTTACAGTAATTGGTAGACAATCGTTGGAAATTTCTACTACTGAGAACAATGAATAACTCTATGTGTTTTATATGTATTTATGATGTATGCTCGTTAATTCATTGATGAAGTAAATGTACTACACTGCCCCAGCTGTTTGCTTTTATCTTATCATGTCAGAGAAACAAAGTAGATGGCGAAAAAGCTGAGAAAATGCCTGTGCTTGGAAAAAAGTAAACCACAACAAAGTGGTCTTTCATATAATTATGTGGATTATCGTATATAGATATATATATTATAGACTTTTTGTAAAATCTCTGAGATTGTACAATATAATGATACAATCTTATAGTGACCGCAGCGAGCTCTAAAAGCAAAAAAGTCTAAGAGAAAATTCGGACTGTGCACATTGATCCAAACGTGACGTCACAGTATAGACGTTCCAAATGTCTTCTGCGGTTTGAAGAGGCGGATCCAAGTTAAAACTGTATCCAATAATACGCATCTGTCTCGCCCTAACGGTCGCACCGTCAACATATTAAATAAAGAAAATCTTTAAAAATGTTGTTAATAACCTTAAGGTTTTAAATGAAGGACACTTATTTGTCTTACAGAATTAGCCTACATTCCATTGAATAATGCCTTTATAATTAGTGTAGACCAAACACCGGAAGTGATAAAAAGAGAAGTAAGCGTATTTCGTTGTTTATTATATTTTATTAATGACAAATCTCTCATAAGACACAGTCACGCATAGGGCCCTATCAAACAACAACATTCTTACCAATGTACAACAAAAATAAACATCTCGCATTATATTGTCCGTCAAGAACGGTCAAAAACATGTCAAAAACAAAAGAGCGGATATTTCCGGAACCACGTATTTCCATTGTTTCACTTGTGTAACAATAAAACCTGGTTATCTGTTTTGCTTCGCAATTTTTACTAAAATCTAACAATATTGGTTTCTAGTATTTTATAGATAATAATTGATTATAGACCAGTAATAATATTGAGTAAGCACCTATATATAATAAATATAGATAATTTAGATACACTGATATAATTCAAAATGCACTTTCTTTTTCGTTCTCAGAATTCATGTATATCAAATTCTGCGAATCTGTAGGACAAAACCTACACAAGTCCAAAGTTGTAATAAATGTAGTATTTCCTTTTAAAATTGCGCTCCCAAAAATTACAAGTAATATAAAAAGCATTGGATAAGTGATAAATTTCAGTTATTATTCAGTGTTACCTAAAAATAGAAGTCTTTGTTTTATATATTGATGGAATTGATGTATTTCTTTCTGACAAGGTTTCATTTGACGCAGTATAAAAGGTCTTGCGCGTGACATATTACCACGAATGCACTTATCTTTATTCTGTCGTCTATCATTAATGGTCATTTTACCTATATCACTAGAGAGAACCACAACTATGACAAAAACTCTGCCCACTGGACATCAAACACTATGCAGTCATAAAATGGTTGATATAAACAGACGGAATGTACAAAAAAGTGCAGTCATTTATGTATAAGATCAATTAAGTTTTCTCTTTAGAATATCGGCCACAAATTTTATACGTGACGGCAAAATTTAAGATATTGTGCCCGTTTAGTCTCCGACAAAACATATATTAAATATCTTAATGAATGTGAAATCACTAAAATACAATTTTGACATGCCTGTGCATGAACATAGAGCGATTTTGAGAAATATTTCGCGGATTTCATTTTCATAGGTTGATAAAATTACATTATAGGTTACAATTACATTATATTGAGATTTTTTTTTTACAGATTTTAAATTAATTTTCTCCCACTGACGACAATTAACCAGAAAAGAAGCTAAAAGAAAAAATGCATTCAGTGTAACCTGAATAAAAATCATACAGTATTGCACTGTAAAACTTTTAAAATCCTAAAGCTTCCACAATTGCGTGCATTACACGCCCTCTATTGGCAGGACCACGTGCTCTCCCTCCGCCGGCTCCACCTCGTGCCCCGGGACCAAGACCTAACTCAGCAGCTTCAGCAGGATCCATCATCAATCCAGCTAATCTTCCTAGATCCCCAAATCCTCCTCCTCCGCCTCGCCGTCGGCCACCTCCTCCCCACATTCCGCCTCCGCCTCCGGCACCCCATCCACCAGCGCCAGCACCACCCGCGCCTTGTCCCTGCTGACCTGCAGGAACATCGCCAGCTTCAGGAGCAAGGCCGAGCACCTCTTGCCATTGTCTTGACATTCTTCGACCACCTCCTCGTCCTCCTGCAGGAGGTCCCCATGGGTCTGGACCAGGCTGTGCCCAAGGGTCTGCCGCTCCAGCTGCACCACCAGCCCCTCCTCCACCACCTGGTCCCCAAGGATCGGCTGCTCCACCGCCTGCTCCCCATGGATCTGCACCACCACCAGCCACGTTCCATGGATCTGCTGCACCCCATCCGCCCACTCCGCCGCCTGCTCCGCCGCCGCCTCTAGCGCCAGGTCGTCTTCGACCAGCTGCTGGAGGATCTGGGGGTTCGGGTGCCAATCCTAACATCGTGATAAGCTGTTTGCTCATTGCAGTTTCCACTGCTCTTTGTACCGGATCAGGAGTTGTAGGTGGTGGTGGTGGTTGGTAATTTTGTTGGGAACCACCCGATGTAGTGTTGTTGTTATAATATGCATATTGGTTTTGTCTCTGTCGTCTTTGCTGTTCTTGTCGCTTTCGAATCTGACTTCTGTATCCTTTACCGACTATATATGGATCTCGTGGGTAGCTTCGTCGTCTTGGAAGCCGAAGGAATCGCCTCAGCTCTGGTAAAATGTTCAGAACAGCGGTACTTACAGATCCCTTGAGATGGGCAGGATTAATGTTCATCGATCTAAGGAAGTCAGCGCCAGTGGCATAAAGAAGTGTCATAATGGTTTGTTGATTTTGTCCCATTGAACGGATCATGCTTAACATGACGTTTCTGTGAAAAGAATAGATAGAATTTAAAACATATGGTCATGGAATTTAAATATGTGTATCTCATATTCTAGACCTGAAATGCAAATGAAAATATTTTGTTAAAAAATAACAAAGTTTACAGTTTAAAACTAATTGCAAAATAAATAATTCTAAAAAAAAAAATAGCTAATTCCATGAAGAATAGGAAAATATTACCTACGGAATAAGTATAAGTTTGAAAACCGGCATTTGTTTCACCTCTTTTAAAATCATAATTAAAGGCGTTTGATATCTAAATTTTATTCATAAATGAACTTTATAACTGAAAAATACAGATACTCTTCTTCTTGTTAAAAGTTGCCTACACTACATAATACTCATTCCTATTTGCCTTTTCTAGCAAATACCATTTCAAACCCCTTTGCCACACATCGAACTTACTTAAAGATATTGCACAAATAATAGATTTTCTAGTAAACATCCCTCTTCTTCTTTATAAAATAAGTTTGAAAACTTTACCGTCTTTACTCTTGATAACCTAACCTTCTAAATGCCCAGCCTCCTGAACAAAGTACTAGTATTCGTAATTTATATTGATATTAAATGATATTAAAACGTTATATCGTCAGTACCACAAGAATCTTACCTGGATATTGGATCCACAGACTCAGGGGTTAGATCCTTAACGTCAATAATGATTGGAGGTTCCGTGGGAATTGGAGTAGTAGTAGTTGGAGCCATAGTAGTGGTAGTAGGTGGAGGGACATTAACTGGAATATCGAACCGAGAGGACCCAACTTCAAGGAAATTATTCCACTTATTTACGTTGTTTCCAGTGGACTGAGAATCGATATTTATCTGGGTATTCATTGAGTTCATTTTATTAGAAGAGCTTTCTACTCCAAGACCCCAAGCAGCCTGGCTGGATTGTGTAGGAATCACTTGTACATTATTGGAAGACACTCCAGATTGTATCATATTAGATGAACTGGAAGAAAAGGAATTGGGGCCTCCAGATTGGAATGAATTGGTTGAATCGAATGTGTCAAATGTATTTGAAACGCTTGTCTTATATGATTTCGAAGCACCAATAGTGTCGAAGGAACTAGACGCGCTAACTGCATTGGACTTGTCAAAATTATTCACGGAACTGCTACCAAACGACATGGAACCACCCGCCGAAACGTCTGTGCCTTGTGATGATGCGTCAGATCCACTTCCCACTTGGAACCCTGATAGGGATTGAAGGTTGACGAAAGAGGCGTCCCAAGGGGTAGTGGCCTGTGTTGTTGTTGTTGTATGTCTTTTAGTGGTTGTGGGTGGTGGTGCGGCAGTTGTTAATGGTAATGGGGCTCTTGTGGTGGGCGCTGGTGTTGGGCGTGTTGTAAGCGGTCGTACAACTGGCTGTTTAGCCTCTTGAATTTTAATCTCTTTTGTTAAAGAACCAGCTTTATTTACTTGTTCATTCGAAGTTGTTTTTCCTTTGCTAGAGGAGGACGCTGAGATCGAGGTTGATGAAGAAGAGGTTGAAACACTCTTTGAGGAAGCAAGGGAAGAGCTTGAAGAAGTTCCTGTATTTTCTAGGGAGTAAGCTGCATCCCAAGCCCCTGCTGAATTTCCAGTAGTGGATTCAATCGGCAAAGTAGAGTCAATGAAGGCACTGTCCCATGAAGAACCAGATGTCCCAGTTCCTATGTCCATTCCACTATTTGCTGTATTATCAAAGACATATGTAGTGTCCCATACATTATTTGCTGCTGTACCTAAGTTAGCAGTATCCATCATGAGATCAACGTTTCCTGTCAAAGCAGTGCTGCCCCATTCTGGTGCTATGTTACCAATTCCAATGGAATCAATCATACTGGCATCCATTGCTTGGCCATCTACAGCCATATTTCCCACGCCACTAATGTCCATAGCAGATCCACCTGCAATGTTGAAAGTAGAAGAGGAAATAGTAGATCCAGCGTCAACTTTTGTCTTTTCAAGTGCAGGTGCCTCTGTTTGAGGTGGCAATTGGGTGACAGTTTTAGCTTCCTTAGTGGACTTTGTTTGTGATGACGATTCCGATGGAACGTTTGCAGACTGGTCTACTATGGTATCTCCACGTTGTACTTCTATTTGAGTTGTTGCTATTTTATCCTTCTTCACATCTCCTTGCACAACTTCACTAGCAGAAACCAAATTAGATTCTGACTGAACTGAAGTTGACGAGGAACTTACAGATTTTTGAGTTTCAATCTTGTTCGCTTTTTCCAAAGTAGTAGCTGTTGGAGCCCCAGCAATTTGTTTTGTCATTTGAATCTTTTTTGATTGATCTGTAGAATAGGGGAATGTTTGCTTGCCTCCCATCTGAACTTTAAGCATGATATCTGTTAGAGCTTTAAACATATTGGCTAATATGGCATTGGGATCCTGTGCTGTATTCTTTGATATTTCGGCCTGCTTGTCAATTTTGCTCTCACTGACAGTGCTAGTTTTCGTAGAAATAACAGCATTTTGTTCTCCTTGAGAACTTATCTTTGTGTTTCCACCTGTAAGAGTTTGTTCCACATTTGCTGACATCAGTGTTTTACTGTTTTCACTTCCTTGTAACCCATCAATTTTATTTGCTGTTGCGCTTGTTTCTAATGTTGATTTTGAATCCGTTTTTCCTTTACCTGTAACCTCCGTATTTATTTTGCTTGTTTCTACAGCTGTCATTCTTTCAGCAGTTGAGGAACCCTCTGTTTTTGTCACTTCGACAGTGTTAAATTGAGTATCTTTTGTCATTTCCGAAGTAGAACTTGATGAATGTGCAGATTTCCCCTCGATGCTTTGACTAGGGGCAAGCGAATGTGCTGTAACTGCTTTTAACTGAGGAATAGGTCTGTCTCCCATATCAATTTGCTCATTAGTGGAAACAATGACTTGTTTTATAATGGGTGCCGGGGGCGGAGTCAATTTACTAGATGATTTTTCTACAGACAATACAGTGTAAGATGAACCCGTCTGACCTGTCTTTGAAGTCTCCACTTGTGAATTTGACTGGATTGCAGAAGATTTGATTTCAGACAGAGATGATGATTGTATTACAGAAACATCAACACCCAAGTCTTGAGTTAAAGGTTTTGATGTCTGTACCGGTTCTGTTGTAATTTCTGGTGTCGTTGGAGCTGCAGTTGTCGTAGTTGGGGCCTGTGTCGATGTTGTAGTTGTTTGTTCCGTTGTAGTTGTTGTTGGACGTCTAGTCGTCGTTGTTGATGTTGTTGTTGGAGCTTGTGTGGTTGTTATAGCTTCTGTGGTCGTCGGTGCCTTTGTAGTTGTAGGCGCTTCTGTCGTTGTAGTAGGTGTCGTAGTTGTGGCTTCAGTTGTTGTAGTCGTGGCAGCTGTTGTTGAAGTGGTAGGAGGGGGTGTAGTCTCTGGTAAGGAAGTGACAAATCCCATTCCAAAGGCTGAGTCGTGTGCAACTTGACCTCCGGCAGAAAGAACTGGGCCAACCTCTAGGGCAGTGGTGTCTGTTAACCGTAGAAGTGTGTGGTCTATTCCACTAGGAATGATTCCTGCATCAAAACCAGATGATAATGCTTGGCCACCAAAATTTGAAGAAATCACAGAACCTTGAGGGATATTATCATTAGAAGAGCCTTGAGAGAAGCTAATATCAGCTGTCGATGATCCTGTGCCCCACTGGTCTAATCCACCCATCATATTTGCGTCATAGGGAACAAATGTACCAGTGTTTTGCATTTCTTGTGTACCATCAATCATCATATTTGGTTCGCCGGGAGGAAGGGGTACGGATTCCACTGGGCCTGCAGTCAAAAATTGTTCACCAGCATTGCTTGCAAAAGAAGACTGAGATGTTAAAGATGACGTCTGATCCATGAATAACGAATCCATTTGTTGGGCATTTGATCCAGATGCATGCAACCAGCTATCACCTCCAATGTTTTGTTGAGGATCTGGAGGCAAATTGAAATTAATCTGATAAGGATCATTTATGCCATACTGAAGCCCTAGTCCTTGATTAAGACCTTCTACAACTAAATTCTGACTTTGCTGCGCATTTTCTAGGCCATTTGAAATTCCCCATTGATTATTACTTTGACCACCAATGTTGATACTTCCTTTTATTAAAATTGGATTTGAAATCAACTGATCATTTGTCTGTGCTTGGGAAGTTTTCAGATGTGATCCACTGTCTGGTGGAAGGATACTTGGCGGTATTTGTGGTGGAAGTGTTGTGTCGATGATCCCAGAATTTTTGGTTTTCTGAAAGGTGTCATCTTGAACAATTTTAGAATTAACTTCTAAAACAGTAGAAGCTGTCGTGACTTCATTAGGCAGAATAGTGATGACTTCTAAATTCTTCATAGTGCTTGACTCTACTGGTTGTTTAACATTTGTGTCTCCATTCAAAGTTTGACGAGTCTCTTTAGTGGTCTCGACTTTAAGACTTCTTTGGTTAGGAATGACTTGCCATTTTCCAGCACTGGAGGTCATACTAGATCCAGATGATTCAATGTCTTTTTGAGAACTTGAAGATACTGAAAAGGATGAAGCTGAAGAAGAAAATGATGATGACGAAACCAAGGGTTTTGAAGATATCTTTCTTACTGTTGTTGTGTTGACCTGTACAGACTCGGTTCTGGCAGTGTCCGGTCGAACTTGTTGCGAGTGAGATGCCAGTTTATGTGCAATTTTTCGGGAAGGATTGGGTTCTCTTTTCTCTAGCAGTATCTTTTCTATCACCTCGGATTTGACATTCGGTAAAACATTATTTGAATTAAGAATTTTGTTGGTATCCTTGATTCTGTTGCCCATTAATGTGAGTTCATGTCTAGCAGAAAAAGAATTCTTTGCTTCTTTGCGTGGGGAGAAGTTTCCTCCCAATGTGACTGTCACTCTCTGTGTTTGTGTGTTAGCTGTATTAATCCTATTTTTGCCCTCCTCTACTGTTTTGATATCTTCCTTTACTTTCATACCCTGGTTGTCTATCGGATTGACCTTTTGTAAAAGTGTTTGTCCTGTTTCTTTTGTTGATGATACTGCTTCAGATCTTAAAACAGGAACGACGGGCTGCTGCATCTTTGCTTCAAGGTGTACTGAAGCTTGGCCTCCATCTTGATTTCTTGGACTAGACATCATCTTTTGGGTCATTAAAATGGAGTTTTTGGCTTCTGTTTCAGTCACTTGAGACATTTTGCTGTATCCAAGATCAGCTGGGCGACTAGAAAGAGATCCTCCTGTAATCATAAGAGAAGGCCCCGACATAGATGAGGGAACTACATAATTGTTGTTATTACTTGGAATAACTACAGTTTGAGGATATAACGCACCGCTTTCAGGTTTTGTTGATTTCTGATTTACACTGACTTCAGTAATTTTAGTGGAAACTGTATTGTCTGACGTTGTCTGAGGAACTGCAATTTCTTTTGATTTTGTTTCAGCCGATACTAAAACAATCGGGTTTGATAATACCAACTCCTTATCTAACGTGGATTCTTTATTGCTTTTGGAAGAAACATTAATTGTTGGAAGTGCTGGTTGTGGTTTTGTGGACTTTGTCTCTTTGTCCATATTTGTCTGTTCAATTTTAACGTTCTCCGTCTCTTTTGTGACCTTTTTTGTCAGAACATCTAATTTTGCCTTGTTTTCAGTTTTGATTTCAGCTCCAGACATCTGGTGGCCATTTGAAGATACGAACCTTGTAAAATTTGTATTTGTGATCTTCGTTGAAACTGAAGGTATGTTTACATTAGACCTGACCTGCTGATTTACGTTAACCTCTGCAGATCCACCCAATGTTTGTATGGGCACGCCTCCAGATCCACTAAAAGATGACATTCTATTTAAAATAGTTTTCCCATTGAGAAAATCTCTTGCAGAAATTCTTAGGGAGCCTTGATTTTTGTTCTGCACAAAAGATGGTGTTACTCCGCGATTCTTCTTTCTAATCTCAGTGCGGATTACTTTCTTGATGCCGCTAGGGGTATTTGTGACTTGAACGGTTTGAATGGTCTCAGCATTTCCACCTTGTTTCACATGTTTTACAAGCTTCCTTAGTTTCTCTAAGGCCAATGATACAGCTGAATGTGGCTTTCTGTCTATTCCACTATGGGTGTTATTAACTACAAAAGAGACTGTATGAACCGTTTTTGGTCCAGGTATACCAGGAATCACTCTCGATGCTAGCCCACTTCTGATTGGTACGGAACCGTCAAAGCCCGAAGTGGAGGATCCCGATCCCGATGACGCAGACCATTTGATAGACGTTAAAGGTGATGACTGTGACATTGAAGAAGATGAAGACGAAGATGATGAAGATTTGACAACCATAGAGGAAGATCCCATACTTGTTTTGTTTGGAAGTGGGGGAGAAATTAGACCAGTCTGTCCTTTCATTGAACCAAGGAGCCCAGATGTGCGGCCAGAATTAGCATTAGCATTAGATCCCGAAAAACTCAATGTGGTTTTCTTTACAGAGAAACTTCCATGTGCCTGAGTTACTGGGTTGGGAGTCACAAGCGTGGTTCTTTTTGAGCGAGATAATATCTTCCCATTAAACTCTGAGGTTGACTTAAATCGGTTAAGAAGGTCTGCAGGATTGACTGTTTCTTTAGCCTCTGTTCCAACTTTGGTGTCTATTGCGACCTGCTTATCAACATCTGTTGCTCCTTCTCCGAGATATGGCAGCATAATGCCTTTAGGTTTAGGCACATTACCGATAGAGACGCTTGGAAATGCCACATCAACATCCTTCCTCATCTGCACCTCATTATTTGCAACCTTATTTGATGTGCGAATATTTCCATTAAAATCAAAAATGGGTACAATTGGTTCGAGTTTGGCTTCGTTTTGTAAGTATCTGAATGCCGATCCCGATTTCTGTTTTTCATCTGTGGAAGATTTGATGTTTCTTTTGAGAATCGTCTCAGGTGGTAAGATCGCTATGTCTGCACAGTTGTAATATTCTTCTTGTGGGCCACATCCGGTGCGACTGGAGCCATCCGGGCATTTTCCCCAGTTCATAGCTGCAAAAATTATTTAAATTTTATTAATTTAAAAGCTTGCCGAAATTTGATAACATAATGATTAAAAAATGCATTTAAGAACTACGAAGCAAAGTCGCAAAACGCCCCGTGGTGTGTTTATATTTATACAACCTTATGCATGGCGCTATTGAAAGTGGCCTGAAAAGCTACAAAAGTTTTAATAATTGTGTGGTGGTATGACGTCTGCAAGCTTGATTAACCATACTCATGTTAATGTTCTGTATAAACTTTTGTTCATGGAAAATTACAATATTACAAAGGCAAAATCAGTAGATGTCTTCTAATGATTATTCTTTAACCTTCTTAGAAAATACAAATATACAAACGTTATGAATATTAACTATTTACTGCGTAAGAATAATCATTAAAATTTAACTCGAACAAATATATAGATGTAGATAAAAGATAGAAATGGAGAAAACGCCTGCCTTTCTCCTCTATTGCCACAACTGGAGAAAAAAAATAACAGACATGTTACTTTCTTTTGGCCAGTTAATTACATGTCCACACGTCAATATCCACACGACATCAAAGTAAAAAAGGGAATTCTTTTCCATATATATTTGATTACCTTCACCTGTCCTCTTCATTTTTCATTTATTTATTTTTATTTCATTATTTTTTTAATTATTATTTTTTTTGCAGGGGGGGGGGGGGGTTGCATTTTTTAAACAAAATTCTCAATCTTTTGAGATTTATATATTAAAGAAAAATTGATTGTGATATTTTCGGGGGAAAATATTATCAAAGTAAACAGAAATAAATATATTAAATGTTAGAATTATTTTTCGGTTGAACATTTATTGATCAATTTGATTTTTTTTTAGAATTGAAGTACATTGTACCATGAGTGAAACTGCAAAACTTGCTTATATGAGAATACAATCTATATTCAAAATTGTTTTGTTTGTTTGTTTTCGGTGTTTGTGGTTCGTAAAACAAGGCATGCCCTCAGGCATGCGCAGTGACATGTGTAATCCATGACCATTTTTGGGACAATAAAACACTTGTTTTTCTCCCGTACGATAATCATTAATTCTGCATAATAATGTCCGAACCAATTTGCCGCCGTTTAATGTGATGGTCATACACAGGTCACGCGCACGGTCATGGTTTTGTAACTTAAAGAAAACGACATGAAAATTAATAATTTAATTTTAAGAAAACGAAGATTAATCTTATAAGAAAAAAAAAATAGATTCTCAGCGAGAACATATAAGCCACTTTGAACATTTGCAATATTATTTCATATCATAAAACCCAGATGTAGAAGGGTATTTGCTCTATTACATTTTAGTTGAGGAGAATGTGTGATTACTGTGCATATAAACTTTGGCCCAGAGCAACTACAAGGAACGTCTCATTTATAAGTGAATCAACAACAAAAAAAGAAAAAGAAAAAAAAAAACACACTTAATGCTATGGAAGATTGAAATATCATTTTATGGATCCGCTCCTGTAAATCATCAGTAGTTACATGTACCTGTTCGCCATTTCCACTGCAGAACACACCTCTCACAAGCGACCCCGCTCGGAAGTGTTACTCGTAGGTGGATCATACCCTCTTGCGTCGGTTCAAAGCGTTTTCCGTGTCCGTCAATCTCTAATGGATATCTATCCAAACACGCCTGCGTCACCGGAACTGAGTCTGACACATCCGGACACAAACGGAATTCAAAGTATCCTCTCATGTTTTTCTTCACTTCCACAATTACGTTTATAATAGTGTCATTTGTACTATAGTACCGGGAAATAAGTCCATTAGAGAATTTCCCGCCAACTTCGTTTGAATGAGGAGTGACGTCGTGAGGGTCACCACAAACTCCACATTTCCCAGAATTCAGCTGCCACTGGCGCTGTAAATGAAAAAAAAAAAAAGAATTCAATACGGACTCACATAGAACTAGGATTTATTTTTCTTGTCTGTTTTGATTTGCATGATTCAGTCTCCTTGTGGAAAAATATGACCTATTCCTTTTATAGCATTTATCAATTTGTATTTCATTGCAATTAATTTTTTTTAAAAACTGATAGAAAAAAAATATATATTTAATATTAATTAATAATAATTTCTTTCTATTATATACGTTCCTGATAAGAGTCCTTTTTTGATGTGGACTTTTGTTATTTAATTATATTTTTTGTTAATTTTTTACATTTTTGTCTTGTGTCAATTGGCCGTTAAGTAATTTATTTGCAAATAAACGTTATTCTCAATGGATAACCATGCAAACATCAAACATCCATCGGCTATTGTCCTTTTTTCCGCCTGGCTGCTTTTTTCTTTTACAATGGCCGCATTAATCTTTTTTACCTGCTTAATAATATGGTTTATATATAGATATTTTTATGGAGCTGCGTGCTCGATTAGGACTGCTTTATTGAAATTTCATGACTGTGTATTTATTATTTGACATGAAAACATGCTGAATGTGCCCATATGTAGAATCTGGGCCCTCAAATCCTGTCAACGTGTTTGTATCATTTTTATTGAAGTGTCCGAGAATGTCACTATTTAAAATGGGGATAAGGTACCAGGTATGAAAAACTAATAAAATAGTAATTTTGTTTTCAGTGTAGTAAAGAATAGAAAATGCGTAGATTTGAATGGCACATCAAATTAAATTCTTCAAAGATGTTTTCTGCAAGCTCAAAGAATTCATTTTATTTTTTTTTTAATTGAGGGAAAGGAAACAATTTTAAAAGGGCATTCTGAAAATAAAAATGATGGCATTGAAAATGTTGGTAAGATTGAGTAATTTGCAATTATATATTAATTATATTCTTCCGGATTGTGTATTTTAAATTGAAGGTTACCATGTAAACAAAAAAATAAAATTCTATATAAACAAACTTTTAAAACCCAACTTACCCAATATCCCCCGCAATTCAATCCATCATCGTCACGATTAACTGGACTTTTAAATCCTCGTCGCCATAGGGATGACCTCTGTGCTGGTTCTAAAAGGCGCCCTCTAGCATTAATAAGTGGCACTAAATTTGAAACAAAGGCGACGGCGAGAAGTATGCTGAAATTAAAAAAGATTAAAATGAATCTGTCTCTTGATAATTTATCTAGTAAGTTAATATTAGTATAAGATTTCAGAAGTCATGATCAAAAGGTCTTGCACTATATTACATGTATATATCAAGTAGGGGAATATAATTTGTATGATTTATTTAAGTAGTGATGTAATTTGGTATTTTAATGTGACCAAAAAATGGATTTCTTAAAGTACGCAATCTTATTTATAATTTTTTTTAACCCCCCCCCCCAAATCATTGATATTTTTCATCTAAACGAAAAATGTACATGTAGTATATATTGTGCAACTTTTAAAAATACGTAATTATGTTTAAGGGCCCCCGGACCTTTTTATATTCCCGATTATTTTGTATCGTGGGAAGGTAGGATTATTTGTCATCGGGCTGTTCTATTACCCTGTCATTTGTGATTCTTTATGTCCGGAGATGTAGAATAATAAAAAAGATCAAGCGTTATGCAAAGGTCAAAAGTTGAGATGAATGCACTCTACTTCTTTATAAACTAGCAGTCAATTTGTCTTAGATTTGAAAGTTACATGTTTTACAGTAAACAGCGATGAAATTAAAATCATTAGCATTAATTGGGTGATTTAATTAATATTTATTCTTGATATACATGTAATTGTATCATGGATGTGTCCATATGAGGACAGCGTATTAAACAATGTCGACTTATGATAAAATTTCGAGACAAATGAATGATAGCAACGGCACAAATTATATGATTTTTTAAAGTACAAATTGGTTCACAAATGATTAATGATATTTACAAATAGTGTATTTTCTCGTGTATGCATCTTTTATCTCGTTGAAGCATTATTCATTTGGTCTTTTTTTTTCATTCGTTGGTACTAGACCTCATAAATCCATCTTATATATAGTGATATCAGCTAGGGTTTTTTGGTATCAGAAAGTCCAGACAATTTTTATGTACATTGATTGTTTTATTTATAAGTTTAGAGAGGAGAAAGTTTTTACATAATATACACATAGGTATCGTAATAATTCGTTATACGAAAAAGTCCCAAATACATGTGGGTTCAAAGCAGGCTTAAAGCTACATCTTCTTCTCGCAACTTGTTTATTTTCCTAATAAGTACATTTCTTCCCCCTTTTTAAATGACTTTGAAAATTATGCTATTTTCGTCTGCTGATTTTTATTTGAAAGTTGACTATAGTCGTGCACTTATTTTAATTTTCAAATAAAAATCAGTTAACGTCACTACTGTAACAAAATATATTGATATTATACAGCAGGCTACATACAAACTTATCTCTATGAAGACCTGTTACTAATTGATACAGAATATACCTCAATTATACCGAGTTTCTAATAAATGTCGCCACCGTAATTATTTTATGATCTTCGCATATTTGTCCTATGATCTCGCGATATCTCGGTAAATCTCGTAATGGATACAGAACTACATTTTTAATGAGCTGAACGTGTCTGTGGTTTTTTTATGTGGCGACGGCTTGCTGAGGTCCAGAACTTAATTTAGAAATGTTATTTTAAAAATAGATATCTTCGATATAATTATAAACAAAGACAAATTAATGAAAATATTCTGATAGTTGATTATCCTTATGAATTTAATCTTAATATTTTTTATTGTTCAAGGATGAATATGCGGAATTCCCAATCAGTGTATCTCATGTACATGTATATATATATATTCCATAAGTTAACATAAAACTTCAAAATAATTTAAAATATTGCAAGTTATTTTGAATGTTCTTTCAATGAATTTTTTCAATCTTTCTCACTATTTTTTTAATAATCAAATGCAGATTATTATATTCTGAAACATTTTGTATTGAAATAAAAAAAAAAAAAATACTAGTAATAGTGCACATTGTCATGTAATTAATTAGGATGCAAATTAAACCAGACTGAATCATATGATTAGTTTACTTTTACATGAAGTGATATTTAATGGTTTTATTTTCATATATAGTAGTTATTTAACTGTGGTAATCTTTTTCTGTCTTTGTCTTGATTAATCAAAATGCAACCAAGAACAAAAATCAAATTAAATTTTCATTAAGTAATATAATATCTTTTTTTGTGAATTATGCAAAAATGCATGAAAAAATATTTACCTTTTCGACTTAAAGCGAATCATCGTCCTATATATATAAAACGCACTCTCCCTCTTCGAAGGGAGAAAAAGTGTTAGCGACTTCCAAACTTGAAGTCTCTGGCGCAACGCTCTGTCCGGCCCAAATCCTGCTAATGCGTGTCCACGAAAGAAGGAAACGGACTGAGATCGGGGATATACATCAGTAGAACCGCAATAGACAGTTTTATTTCTCCATAACTTGGACATTACCGAGGAGATTATTTTTTTCTTTATTTATGGGGTTCGGCAAGGGCACCCACTGTGGGGTTATTGTTTTTGTAACAAATTTTGATTGCAATGTTTTCTAGAAAAAAGGTCTCTACGATTTGATATCGCTGAAACGATATATATATTATAAATAAAACCTTAAATTATATTTTAATACCTTTCTGTTTAATTTGGACTTTCATTAAATTTTTCAAATAAACAGTTTCTTGAAAATCTTTTTTTCCGTTTTAAATAGTAGTATTTACTTTGCTTTAAGGGGCATTACTTCTGTGTATGCTTTGAATTGTAAACAATATACGAGTAGCTGAACATATTTTATTGTCAATAAACTTTTACAAGTGGGATTAAGCAAATGTTACGAAAGCTAATACGCGTATGTCCGCCTCTTTCCTACCTGTTAAATATAGTTAACTTTTTTTTTACATATATGACTCATAGTTTTAAATGATAATACTTTTTTATTGCTTTGTTTTTGTTTTTGTTTTTTTATTATTTTATTTTTTTAACATTAAAATATTAAAGATTCAAACGTATCTTAACCATCAGTGACGAATGCATATTAAGTACATGTGTAATCATATTTTTAATGAAGGAAAAAAAAGATTAGGTTCAATTTTACAAGGGAAAAAAATTAAAATTTCATGTTTCCCTTAGGGAGCCCCAGAGGTGGACACACGAACATGTAACGTCTACTTGAAGGTGTCGCTTTCGCTTTGTAATTATTCCATCGTAATTGTTGCATTAACACATTATACGTTGTCCCCGAGATGTTCCTGTGTATTAAAAACTGAGTAATTATCGCCCCTTTTTATGACAGTGCACTTGCGCTATGCACCGTATTTTTGGAGAATATAGTGCAATGATTGAAATTTGAGTATCATTGATTAATTGCTTGACACAAGGTCAAAGGGCGAGAATATGGTTATGTTTACGAGCTTTGACGTGATAATTGGAGGGGTTCCGAAATGTTATTGAGGGTTGTTGGCGTAAAAGTCGTCACGTTAATGTGCGAGACGTACGTAACATGATAAAAAACCTCAGACAATAGCATAAAAAACGATATATAGACTAAATATGCATAGCTATACCTGTTAATAAGGATCTGAAGAAAAATCAACCAAATTATATGAAAGTACTAGTAGCTGTTATATCTATTTTGACAAGTCTGTTACAAAACCTGACACTACAAAATTTGATGAAATCTTAAATTTGACAAAAATTGGTTTTATTTAAATTTTTTGGACTGTACATATAATGCAAAAGGTGAATATCTGAAATTTGATTCAGGGTCTATTTTCCAAAAGATTCGTTAAACTATCCCAAAGACTTAACATTTAGTCCTAATCATCTTGTTAAAGCATTTATTCTTCTTTGAAAAAAAAAAAATACTTCTGAACTTCTCAATTTATTTTAACAGAAAATTTAATTTGTTTCTTCTGTATTATGTCGTCACAGCGAGCTTGAATAATTTTCATTTTTAATTTTAAACAAAATTAATTACATGGATTTTTTAAAAATATTTTACAGTTGGGCATTGTCAACTTGGACAAAGTATACGTCGAATATCACAGAAATGTCGAACAGAGTTGTCCTGACAATAACATGCTTGAATCTCGAACCTTCGAGTATCTCGGGGTTATTTTTACAGTCCTGCTTGACTATGATTCTTTTTTAAATTGATTAAATAAATAAAATTTAATTTAAACGTAATTATGAACTGTTTAATATAAGGTTATTGCAGTGAAAATCAACTTTTTGTGAGCTGAGTTCTCGTCACCACGAGACTGTGTTAAGTCGTGGGCTAAACTCACGGTCGCCTGCGTGGCGCAGTATTTAGAGCGTTTGCTCTAGAGTCGCGGAATAAGGAGTTGATTCATACGTCGCAGGTTTAAATCCCACTGCGGAACGTGGAGACCGATCCTTCGGATGAGACCGTATAAACCGAGGTGCTGGTACGAAAAAGATCCCTCACTGCTTAAAGGTCGTAAGTGTCGAGTGCAGGTCTAAATCTGCAGCCCTCTACCGGCAAGTGGTGGCCTCTCAATATAAATAAAAAGAAGGGACAGTAAACAAACAAACAAACATCATCACGTGACAAGTAACCGGTTACCGTCATCATTCAAAAGTGTGAAAGCTTAATCAAATGATTTGTCAATGGTAATGGTTACTGAGCATTAGCACAAATGTTAGTTACATTGCATTGGTCGTTGTACTTTTACGTTGTTCAAAGGGAGATCAGTTCAGTACTACCAGAGTTATCTTAATATTCTAGAGTCTGGTGGGAGGATAATATGTTTAATTTATTTACAATACGAAATCATGTGATTCTTTTAGTCAATAAAGGGACAAACACTTAAAGGTACATGTAAACATGCACTGCACTGACTTAACGCTGAGCATCAAGCGTCAAATGTCATTAATAAAATACGTTTTAGTCATTGAAAGTTTTATTTATTGCTAATTTTGTAAACTAATAAATCATTAATTTTTTTCCAAACTTATATTAGTTCCCATTCCTCTTTTCAATCTTATAGAATGATGAAAATAGATTGATATATCTTAATATATATACAGTGTATGTACAATAATAATGTAAACATGATTTTCATAGAAGAAACAGTGCTTATTCTCTCTCTCTCTCTCTCTCCCTCTCTCTCTCTCTCTCTCTCTCTCGTCGACCGCGTGGCGCAGTGGTTATGACATTTGCTCGAGTCGCGGAGTAAGGAGATGATCCTAACGTCGAGGGTTCGAATTCAACTGCGGAAAATTGAGAAAAGATCGTATAAACCGAGGTACTGGCAAGAAAAACATCCCTCACTGCTCAAAGGCCGTAAGTGCCGAGAAGAAGTCTTAATTTGCAACCCTCCACCGGTAAGTGGTAATGTTTCATTCGTTAAACAAACAAAATCTCTCTTTCTCTCTCTCTCTCTCTCTCTCTCTCCATGTTCATATCATTATATGGATTTACTTATACTACCAACACCGTGACATACAAAGATAAGAGGCATGTGACCTTTCAATCTCAGACTTCTTGGGTTTCACAAATTCATTCAGTAAAGTTGACGCTTATCTCTTACTGTCTCTTTCCTCTGTTTATGCGTGTGTCACAAAAAATGAAGGGAGGAAATTCGGATTACACCATTGAAAAAAATCAGAAACGCTGGTCATCCTTGCTTTTATTGTTCATTCTCGTTGTTTTGTGTATTTTCTTAATCGTCATTGGCGTGTTTTTATTTCTTCAATATAAGGAAATAGAGGACTTGAAATTCAGAGTTGCTTTTCTTGAAAAAGACAGGGTGATTTCAAGGGTTAAGATTTTTGATGTCAAGGTAAGCCATAACATTTTGATTTGATTTTTTTTTTCTTTAATTCATAAAAAAAATATGCATCGGGAATTCAGGTCCTTTTTTAACTTAAAAAATCCCGATTTACTTGTATTTGTTTAAGCTTATTAACGATAAGAGGGTCAATTTAATATTGGACTGTCAAGAATTCTATACTAAACATAAAAACTAAAAGTCGGCCTCAATCCATAACGGACGACCTTTGTTATGGTGGTAAAATAAAGCCCGGTTTAATACAAGCACAACACAACACCCCACAACACCCCCCACCCCATTATAAAAAAAAAAACCGGTCGAAGCAGTGAAACAAAGGATAATTTTTTTTACAAAAATACTTCGCATATAATGACCCCCTAAAGTAGCATTAAATAGATATCTGTCCCTCTGACGCTCCTATTTCCTTTCAAGACTCCAAAATATTTCCACTTCTTCAGTTTATCGTATTTATGCTTTAAATTTATGCACATTTTTTAATGAAAACAAATTAAGTTAATATTCTCGTTTTAATTCACAGACTGACAAAGTGACACGAGACAAGCGGCAGTTAACTACAGCCCAATACAGTAGCCTTTTACAAGAAATCACACAGAAGCAGGTAAAAGCAGGAATTTTGACATTGTCAGATTTACTGGAGTATGAATCCTTAAATTATTTTGAATGGCGTATTTACTGGGGAAGACCTCCTTAAACGTTAAAAAATTTCTGAAAAAAAATGTTATCTGTTTATAATACGTAAGTTGAATTGCGTTTTAGTTTATTGGATTTTAGCAAACTTATACTAAAGAGAGTTTTTATATGTAAAATTAAAGGATTGCATTTTTCGACTCCTCTTAAATGGACTTCCTGAATGATGCAGAAACACGGAATTTATAAACCAATTTACAGAAGCAAGAACTTCATATACATCGAAATACGTGTATTGTAAAAACTTTACCATCGTATCTATAGAATTCTAATGGCACAAGTAGCATCAAAATACTTTATGAAGTAAAAAGAATTATTTGTATGCGATAAGATTGATTTCTATTTTTTTTTAGCTGGATGCCTTAATGTCGAGGTGCGGAAATGCCTCAAAGATCTGCCTACCAGGTACGTACACTCATCGGCATCTTAACAAACACGTCAGCACAACATTACCATTGTGTACATATCTGTATACATATATGCAGTACTTAGGTCATAAGTGCACCGATCTCATGGTTCTTATCTGATTTATGTAGGCCCAAAAGGTGACGCCGGTCTTAAAGGTGACATAGGTAAATATTTACAACAACATATTGTCAAGGTATTTTTAAGGCCAATTCAAGTATTTAAATAGATATCTAACAAACCGTACACACAATATTTATATAAGATGTGTCAACATTCAGAAGATTTAAAGAGAATCTGTATAAATTATTTACAGATTTTTATTGTAGATTTTATTGTGTTTAACAGAAGTATTTAAAGCAAAATTCGGTGAACATATGTTCAATCCAGGAATCAAATTTACCATTTGATGTTTAGGCTTAAAAGGAGATCCGGGTCTAAATGGACCTCCGGGACCAAAGGGTGATTCCGGAAGTGTTGGAACTTCCGGTCCCATTGGACCTCTGGGTCCTAAGGGTGAACCAGGTGTAATGGGTCCACGGGGAAATTCTGGTCTGCCAGGGGAAAAGGGTAAATAATTACTTAGAAATGTTTTGAAACCACATTTAAAGGTACAAGAGCGCATGATCACGTACTGAACTTGATGTATGCTTTATACAGGCGAAAAGGGAGACATGGGTCTTCAGGGACCTCCTGGCGTTAAAGGTGAAGCTCCTTCCCAGAAGTCCTTAGATATGTGTTGCAACAGATTAGGTACGTTTTGCTTTTTCTGTTTCATCAAAATACTATTATGCATATCACAACTCGATTAAGAAGCCACTACACACTGAAGAGGTCCAATTTCATGGTACTTCTATGCAGTTAGAGTAATTTGCCCCTAAAAGTAAATAAACTGAAATGTACAATATAAGAAACAATTAATAATCAATTCAAAAATAATTTTAAATATTATATTAAACCAAGATGAAGTTATAGAATAATTTATTTTCATAACTATGCAATATGTTTTTCTCATGCTTCTACATGTATGTAAGCAACAATGTTTTTTGTTCATCAATACTTTGTTGTTGTTGAAGATTTTTCCTCAGAAAGAATGATTGGGACCCAGTGTAGAAAATGAAATAGATCAACTTTATTTTCACCTTAATTAATACGACATGATTCTAGTAGTGTAGGAGTATATAAAGGATCAGGCTTCTTAAGTGAATAAAACAGGCAGTCCTACAAAATAAACTTTAAAAATTTTATTCCAGCTGCCCCTTCTATTGTTGGGCCAGCTAATGACATTATGACGGTGGAACATGGAAGTGATGTCACACTTCCGTGTAAGACTTCCGGTGCGCCGAGAGCGGATACAGATTGGAATCCTGGGGTGGATCCAACACAGCATGGCCGTTATGTACAGTCTACGGAAGGCTTGGAAATCTCTAATGCGCAGTATCTTGACAGCAGAATGTTTACCTGTAAAGCTAGCAACATATTCGGAAGCTTCGAGAAACATATATACCTTGTCGTTATAGGTAAGTCAATCTTTTTCCGGTAAATGGTCGTAAAAGGTAAGTCACCTTTTCCGGTTCCTGGTAGTAAAGGAAAAGTCAATCGTCTGTGGAGGTACCATTGGGTCAATATCATTATTACCCCATATTACGTGAAAATGTTTCATTGTATCTCTAAAAATATTGTCCTTGACCATATCAATCATGAATATTATGCACATGGAGACTAAAATGTAGAAATTTTGTGGAATAATTTACTGTAAATAATAATGACTATATCTGCAATGAGGTATCACTTGTATGCGCTGATGCTTCTAAGAATATAATTATTTTATTTGATTTAAGATCCTATTCAGGTAACCTTGACACCGAAGACCCTTGACGTCACAGCTTCGGCAACCCCGTCTTTAGATTTCCTCTGCACATTCAAGGGAATTCCGCCTCCCCGTGTCCAGTGGTTCCACCTTGGCCCGGATGGAACAAGGCAGAACGTGACGTCACAAGCGCAAACAGGAGGTGGGCGGAGCACTTTGCATATCAGTAACCCGGATGCTATGAGTACTGGGCAATACACGTGCAATGTGTTGAATGCTTACCAGTCACAGAGTCAAATAGCCAACGTCACTGTTCATTGCAAGTAAATTCTTCTACATGTATATTCTTTACCTAATACCACATGTTCTCGATCTGCAATGCTCTGTTGTTTCTTTAAGGTTCCTTATCCCTAATCATTAATCATATAAAGTTTTGCTTTAATGTTTTTGATTTTCCGAAATAAATAATCTAAATCATAATCGAAGGCACACAATTCAGCATATATCTTGCACATTTTGACAGAAATGGCCGAACTTTTTATTTGACAGTATTTTAAGGGAACAGGAGTATTAATCCCAGTAATTTAATTTATCTCTCTCACCAGAGGGTCAAAGAACCCTTAGGCGTTGTAATTTTAACAATCTTATAAAATTATAAATATATAAACTCATGTAGATACAGGTTATAGAAAAATTTACTAAGTATTTGGAGTTTGTCTTCTTTACTTTATTGTAAAATTCAGCAAATTCAAATTGGGCAAAATTGAGCTAATTTCGAATTTTGAATTACACGACATTTTTCCGTGTTATAGCTAAACCTGTGATAATGAAAGGGCCTGGCACAGAGACGGCTACTATTGGAGAGACTGTGATTCTCCGGTGTGATGCAGCCGGAAATCCACAATCCTCTGTCACTTGGACTTTCCCGAAGGTTAGAAAATGTTTCTTTTTCAACTTTAGCTTAATTTTAAGCCATAAATGTTGATACAGTGAAATCTCCTTATCGCAAACTCGATGGGTCTTGCGAAAAAACTTCGAGTCGAGATATTGAGATTAAATACATTTCGTGAAAACAAACTGCTTTAGTTTCTCTCTTCGAGATATCTACACTCTAGCCATTGCACATTAAAGAGTTCCTACTCATTGACATTTATTTGCAGTTCCAATAATCTGGCTCATATGTAAGATTGAATGAAAATCTTTAGTTTTTAAAGGAAAAATATCTTCTTTGCATATATTTCTCCAATAAAAGTAAGCAGCAGTGATTTCTGTTCACTAATACGTTTTTGTCTTTCAACATTTTTTCTTGGGAAATATGATAAGTATCAATTGTTGAAAATAAACTATCTGAATAATATTAGTAATGGCAAACTGTAGTTTTCTCAACGTCTAATTAACACTTTTAGTCTGTATTCAGAGCTGCCTTAAGTATCGAACATAAAATTTTTGTCATAGACAGGTACAGCTGTACCGAAAGATGTGAGGATAAACCCAGACGGCTCCATCACTATCGTCCACGTAGATCAATTCAGTGAAGGAGATTATATGTGCAACGCCTCCAATTCATTTGGATCCGCCACTGCCTCTGGGCATCTTAACGTTATAGGTAAAGAAAATCTGCTTTAGATTTTTTTTTTTTACTTTTTTATATGACAACAAAAATTCAGTTTTTTAATCCTTGTGTTTTGGCTTTCTCTCTTAACTAAGAACAAAAAAATTATCGCACATGACAATAAAACTGTGGGGAAAAATTGTAATTGACATTATATATTTCTAGAAATTCCGAGAAATATTTCTTGATGTGCGACAACTGATAGTGTTTGACGTTTTGAAAAAAAAATAATGTGAATCAACAATATTCATACTCATACTGTAATTAAATCATTTTCAGCGATAGAATAAGTAGTACTTAACATTTTTCTAAGTACAATATTTAAATTTACCTGAATACCTTAAATTTTGAATCATAAATGCGCTGTGTTCAAAAATTATCGTTGTTTTAACTAGTTCCGCTGGTAGTCCAAACACAGACAGAAGAACTTCCGGTGACTTCGGAAACCTTCATAGAACTCCAGTGTTCCGGAAGTGGTAATCCCACACCTACTTTAACATGGCAGAAGGTTGGGTCATCGCCTTTGAACTCTGACCCCAGCAAATATATTATGCTTCCAAATGGTAATATGATAATTACTGGATTTAACCCGGAAGTGGATTCTGGACTTTACGTCTGTAACGGAACGAGTACACAAGGAACCGCTGGAGATTACACATTGGGTGAATAGCATGACTGACAGAAAAAGAATGCAAGGAGAAAGCAAAAGAGGAGATGAAGAGAAAAAGAGGATGGCTGAAGAAATTGGGGCGTGAAAAGAAAAGAAGGGGTTAGAAGGAGAGCAAGGACGATGGGGTAAAGGGGTTAGCGAGAGAGCTAGGAAGAGGGTGAAAAAATTGAGATGGTGGGAGAGGGAGGAGGAGGACAATTGTGGGAGGAGGAAGAGTGTGAGAAGAAAGAGGTTAGTATGGATAGGAAGGAGGGTGATTAGAGGTGGAAGAGGAAAGAGATTAAAAAAAAGATTATTTGAAAAAAAAAGAAAGTGGGTGAATTGACGAGGTAGGGGGTGAAAAGATGGGTTTCTAGGAGGATTTTAACACGAGGTTGAATGGTGAATAAGAAAGGTTAGAAGAGGGGAGAAAAGAGGCTGAAAAGAGAGAAAAGGGGAGACAACCTAGCTTCTGTTCTGTCCATCACTTGGATGTACAAAGTATTAGATCTCCTTTACAACTTGAAACGTTAATATCTAGACTATATTCGCTTTCAATTTAGTTTTTTTTTTCATTATAGAGGCTTAGCCCTTTTAGGGTGAACTTAATTCTCAAGATCAGCAATGTATTAAGTTTTACTTTAAAAGATACAAATAATTTGCCTTCAAAATCATTTTTTAAAAACAATTTTTAAGCGTTAAAGCAGGTTAATCTACATTTCAGAGTTTGACTTTTTTTCTGTACAAATGACTATAACACTACATGTGATTCCGAGCTGATCAGATTGACCTACATTTTAGAGTTTGGCCTCATTTTTTTCTGTATAGTCTAGATATAACTCTTGATAACAAAACGGCTTATAAGACGTGTTTTTGTTTAAGAAATCTTTAAGTCTTATATTTTTAGTATACAAAAACATTGGACCTCTTCAGTGTAATTCTACATTCAAGGCATGTTCCACCAAGATCGGTGTCTCTTGTGGGTAAGTGAATAAGTGACATTAAAAGATTTCAAATGTATAGCCCAATGGCTTCTTTTGCTACTTATAAACATTTTTCAATAGATTCGATCATGTCTATTTTCATTTTATTGTATTTTTTTTTTATTAAGAAACATATTTTCGCGCTATTTAGATTGGCTGCTTTCGATTTCACTACTATATGTATATATGTATATTGATATTTAATGTTTCTAACATGATTTTTGTCATACCCCCCAAAACTGAAAATATCACCTGTATGCATTGTTCGTGTGTCGCCTTGAGTTTATTCACTTTTTTGTGAAACGGGAAAAAATATCTTTGAAAGGCTAGTTTATATTGATTGGGCAACGTGTCTTAAATAAGAAGTCAATTAACCTCAAAAATTTTCAAATGAGCCATTTGGAAGACAACCCTTTTAAACACAAAAACAAAGAACTTTATTCTGTGAAATATAATATTCAATATATGGAAATTACAGAACTTGATGCATATTGGAGTCATTGTGTCAGGCGATGTATTCAGAAAGAGATTGTTTTAGACTATTTACTATAAAATAATGTTGATTACGAATTATTTTTAGTATTAAGATATGAAAATCAAATCAGAAGGAATTTTTTTTTACCTTCAGGGGTCAATGTCCCGGAAACTGTGACGTCATGAATTCGGGGATCGTATACGGTTTTAAATCTTACACACCGGTAAAGAGTTAATTTTTCTTAAATTATAGATTTATAACTTTTATGAATTTGCTTAGGTTTGGAAATCGTGCTCAGATACATTAGCTTTATTCTTAGTCGGAGAAACATTTTCGATGATGGTACGAAGCATTTTTTTTTGTTCTGAAAATTTTAAATGCAATTTACATTTTTAAAGGTAAAAACTAATCAATAGTAAGAAATTATGAACATTTTTGACAAAATGATATGTAGATCATACTTTTTTCTGTAGACGTCCCCAATCTGTTTATCTGGGAAACACTTAGGCGTGGTGGGTCGACCCGGGGACACAGTCATATGGTCTGTGGAGGCAGGAGGGGATACGTTTGAAGGGAGACAAAACAACGGCATCACAAGTCAATTGTACGTCTCTCTCTCTCTCTCTCTCCTGACAACAAATGTTCATTTTAGTATGTTTGTATAACAGTTACAGTGTACTCATTTGACTATATTTACAACAGTTGTTAATTTTACTATGTTAACAGCAGTTGTTCATCTTGCTTTGTTTAAAGCAATGAATTGTTTATTTTACTGTGTTTGCAGGAGTGTTCATCTAACTATGTTTACTGCACTTGTTCATTTGACTATGTTTACTGCACTTGTTCATTTGACTATGTTTACAGTACTTGTTCGTTTGGCTATGTTTACAGTAATTGTTCATTTGACTATGTTTACAGCACTTGTTCTTTTGACTATGTTAACAATAGTTGTTCCTTATTATGGCTATCTTTGCGACAATTGTTCATTAGACTACATGTATGTCTGTACAAAAGCTGTTCAGACTATGTCTGTACAAAAGCTGTTCATTTGACTATATTTGTACAAAAGTTGTTCATCTTATTACTATGTTAACAGCATTTTTTTCTTTTGACTAAAGTGTATGTTTACAGCATTCGTTGTTTTTTTAAAGCTCTGGGCCACTTGCTGAGAAAATGACAGTCTACACTAAACAGCCTCAACTGGGTGGACACACCTCTATAGCGCCCATAGCTCCATTGGGTGGATAGCGCCCATAGCTCCTCTTGGCGGGAAGATAGCCGTCCAGATCAATATTTACATAATATGTACCTGTAATAAATTATGTTTTTGGCTTTTGTTCCATTATGTTATTGATCCCTTTCCTCAGATTCTCTCGCTACTACCGGGTTTTTGATAACCTCCTCTTTTCTGTTAAAATATCATCTTTCGTCGCAAACCATGGCCCTAATGTACAATCTTCTCCCATTCTGGCCGTGGTTGAAGGAGAAGAGAGTATTTCGTAGATTATTAAAGTTTTAACCAATGCGAGTAATGCATTGTCAGTAAATGAACTTTGACGCGACCTTTCAATACCGCAGTTTCACAGTCTATCGTAACATTTCTTGTGTTGCTGATTTCAATTGCGATGGAAACAATTATTTTCATTATTTTAACTTGACATCACACCTTAAAGGCGTAATTATTATGTAATTTTATGTGATCAAGCAGCCACGGGTAGAAGAAAGCTATAATATATGCAGACTCCAGACCTTGGCTTGGGACGATGGAAGCAGCAGGCATGCTTATGAAGCTATCTTAGGACTAAGACATCTTTTAAGATGAACTTACGACATATCTTGGTCTTAAGTGAGGCCAGCAAAGCTATCCTATCTTAGGAGATTTCCTAATCTTAGTCCTAACTTTAAGACGACGACGAGGGTGTCCTAAGACATATCTTATGTGATTTAAGAAGCGCTGCTGCCAGGAAAAAAAACAAGAAATTATTGAAAGCACATTGTTTGCGTAATTAATCCAATAATTTTTGTACAATATTAATTTCTTTTATGAGTTAAATCAATTAACTAAACATTATGCCGTGTCACTGTATATCATATGTAAGCATGTACATAAATAAAGGGAAATAGATGAAGCAATAAATGAAAATCTATTCATTAATTTATTGATGTAGTAATCATGTATTGCAGCAAGTTAAAACTTTCTAAAGTAGTTTTATTTAAACTCTTTTGAAATACATGTAAACATGCCATTTATTTCTCTCTCTCTCCCTCTCTCTCTCTCTCTCTCTCAATTCATTGACCTATTCAGTGAAAAATCTGGCATTTCCTTTGATAGTTTTTTTTTTGTTTGTTTTTTTAATCGGTTACGACAATAGAAAAATAATCACTTTGTCAGTAGTTATATCTTTATTAAAATGTGTGAAACTTACTAATTTACATATCATATGCAGATCCATGCATTTCTTCAACGGGGGGGGGGGGGGGTGCCACCCACTCAAAAAAATTCCGACTCGGATATGTTTTGACAATGCAAGGGAAAAACTCCAACTTCTCCAAACCTGATAAACCTTTTCTTGTTTGTAGGGGGAGGGTGTTTGTCCTGGTGGGGGTTAAGTCGCTTGTCTTCACAGATACACAGAACATGTTCATTTATAAAACTTTCCTTGCCATTTTTACCAGGGGTCCATGTTGTGTAGGGGGGGGGGGGTAGTTTACTATATACTTTATACTTTTAATAACTCAAAAAAAAAAAAAAAAAAAAAACAGGGGACCGAACACAATGACTCCCCAACCACCCACCCAACTCTTACATCTGCACAAGCATATGGCAATAGGATCAAAAATTAAAAAAGAAAGAAAGAACTGCTTGGAATGGAATTTACGACATCTTAACTTGAGATATGTCTTAGGAAATTTTCATAAGCATGCCTGCTAATGTATTATTCATTAATCTTAAAGCCATATATTTATTAGACCCCTACCGGTGAAACCGGAGGAGACTATAGGTTTCCTCTGAGTCTGTCCGTCCGTCTGTCTGTCTGTCAGTCTGTCCCACTTGGTTTTCCGCACTTTTTTCCTAAACGCTTGCAGATATTGAGCAGATTTTTGGTATGTGAGTATATCTTGATGAGTTACAGATCAAGTTTGCATTTCGTTCCGCTTCATTGATTTTTGACCGAATTACGACCTTTTCAATTTTTAAGGGTTTTCCGCGATTTTTTTCTAAACGCTTGCAGATATTGAGCTGATTTTTGGTGTGCATCGTAATGCAGATTTACAAATTTTATCTCTATAATGTTACAGGGCTTCATGAGGGTGCTATGCGCGACAGAGGCAACGTTGTAACAATTTTTAAGCACACATTTTGCATGGCTCTCTTTTTTCATTGAATGGTTTTACTGCTTAATTAAATGATTGTAATTTTCCCAGAAGTATGGGTAAGGCCTGTTATAAGGTGAACATTTACTCAAATTACACTGATTGCCCAACGGTAAATCATTTAATGCTATCCAATTCAAAAGCGTTAATTGTAAATCTGTGGTTAGTAGGGCAGAACTATGCAACAAGTAAAGGTTAAATGTAGGTTTTATTAACAGTACGCATTTGAATAAAGCACAAAACGAACATTCATGTGCAATGAGAAAATATGACATACCGGGTATTGCGTATAACAACGAGGGAGTCATGATGCAAATGCATTTTGGCTAACATTCAACGCAACGGCACGATATCTGAACAGGACAAAAATTATAAAAATATAAAATTTAAGTAAATTGAATGCATACAAGGGAAAGGGATAGTGAATGTCAAACCCTATTTGCATACTTGGTCAAAAAAGTATATTTTATAGACCTTCTCTCAGCATGTGGATAATTTAGATACTTTTCATAATGGTACATCAAATAATATACGAACTGGGATTTCAAGCTGACATATCATCTTCCTTGCATGCTATTAAAAAGTATTGTTCTTCAAGCAAATAGAATTCTTCTTCACTAAATACGCAAACAACGCTATGATCTAATCGTGAACTGGTAAGCAGTATTTTCTGTTGTGTGAAGTTATCGCCCGTATAATTTTTAATTGCATTTATTTTTTGCATAAATAAACATTTCTGCTAAATCCATTTAAAAGTAAAAAGATCAAGAATAAACATTTTATGATTTATTTAAAGTAACGATAACATTTTTCTTTTTGTTGTAGAATAGGTATTTTCCCCATTATTTTTTATTGTAAAAACATTAAAACATCTATGTATTAGTAATATAATTTATTTTACAAGGCCAAACTGTAACTGTGTCAGACGGTCAAGAAATAAATAAAGAGAGAGAGAGAGATAGTGGGGAGAGGGAGAAAGAGGTGGGGAGAGAGAGTGTGAGTGGGGAGGTAGAGGGTGAGAGAGAGAGAGTGAGGGGAGAAAGGGTGTGAGTGGGGAGGTAGAGGGTGGGAGAGAGAGAGAGAGTGAGGGGAGAAAAGTGTGAGTGGGGTGGGAGAGAGAGAGAGAGTGAGGGGAGAAAAGTGTGAGTGGGGAGGTAGAGGGTGGGAGAGAGAGAGTGAGGGGAGAAAGAGTGTGAGTGGGGAGGTAGAGGGTGGGAGAGAGCGTGAGGGGAGAAAGAGTGTGAGTGGGGAGGTAGAGGGTGGGAGAGAGAATGTGAGTGAGGAGGTAGAGGGTGGGAAAGAGGGAGAGTGGGTCGGGGGGAGGGTGAGTGGGGAGGTAGAGGGAAGAAGAGAGAGATATTGGGACTGAGTGGGTGGTGAGGAGGGGAGAGTGATACCAGGTGGAGGGGGCAGAGAATGGTTTTCATGTTATAATTATATCAGTATTTTTGCATGTACAACTCAACTGACTTTTTTTCTGCATTTTTGATGTAGTAAAATTTGTCTACATTTTTCCAGTATATATATGTACACAAGTTTCTCGAATTTGATAATGAGAAAGCATGGAGAGATAACCGTACCACAAATTTTTAAAATGTTTTTTTTTTCCCCTAATTTCTTGTTTTTCCAAATTTGTTTCAATAATGTTATTTTCATTTCTTATTTTAATTCTAACTTAGACTAAAATATTCCAGTTCTATATCATTTTTTAAATGTCATTTTATTTAACGATATTTCACTATTTAACGATTAGCGGGTTCCAGTAAAAGTTCATCCAAACTTCTTTACTCCTCACCAAATATTAACAGCAGTGAAGGAGAAACTTTAGTAGCACTGTGCAACAAAATATTCCAGAAGTTGTGTAAATCTGATGTGGATACTTAAAAATTCCAAGGATCTTTTGGAAAAATTTAAAATCACAAAAATTTACCAAACTAACATAAAAACGTACGACTTTTTAACTCTATATACGACATAAAAATGAAATATGATAATAAAAATAAACATGGAACTCGAAAATTTATTTACCTTGTAATTGGTCATTTTCAAAATTATTTTAAATTTGTTATAAACATTAAAATTATTTTGTTAAAAAACATTCTGATTGTAAACACAAGTACTCTGAAGTTGATATTAAAAACATGCTTGAGTTTCTGATTGTCTATATCTATGTGGTTTTTGGACACCAGCTCTTTCAACAATCTGTCGGAATTCCCATGGGTACCAATTGCGCCCCATTATTAGCAGACGTATTTTTGTATTCATATGAAGCAGAATTTATTCAAATTCTTATACATGAGAAGAAAACACTTGTTATGGCCTTCAACTCGACATTTAGATATATCCACGACATATTATCAATTAACAATATATAGTTATTCCCATTCATATGTCGACACGATATATCCCAGTGAGCTTGAAATTAAAGATACCACATAGTCTGATACATCTGATACATACCACGTACATTGTATATGATGAAAGTATTAGGAATTAAGTATTAGGCGTTAATGAGAGAGAATTTACTTTGCTCCTCCGACATACATTTGAGAGTATTAAAAAAAATCAGGAGACGTAGTTATCTATGGGCCTCCGCTGACCCTCCCCAACCCTGTGATGAACGCGTTTCTAATTTCTAAAGGTTTTACAGTAAAACTTGTCTAATCCGGACACGACTGGTTCCATAGAAAATGACCGGATTAGACAACATTCCGGATTAGACAACATTTAAAACAAATGAATTTACTGAAATGGACTTAAAATTAACATCGTATTAAGCAAGATTTCGGATTATACTTCCGGATTGGACAAGTTTTACTTGTATTATATAACACAGTTAAAAAGTAGGGGGTCAGATTTCTATCATAACAAAA